TAGATTTCCTCTGTTCGCTGCCTTGCCTCTTTTATCAACTTGTTAGTTTTCACCCGTAGATCTTCGAGTTTGTGCGACAAGACAATAAACATAAACCATCGGCGTCGAAATCCAAATCTTCTAGGCTCTTTTCAAACGGTCAAATAGCTTATGCTCATCTTCTCAATCCTCACAGTTTGCCACATGATCCAGTCCTCCTCATCTCGTTTGCAATCTATGTGGCCTTGGTAGGTTAACATATTGTGCGGGCATTCCATATCCCCATGTTTACTTTCACGTTCATCGAGAGAAGACACATCGGCCGACTGGCTTCCCGATGGCTTTCACCAACCAGTGACATTTCATCTCTTCGATTCCAGCAAGTAATAAGTTTAATTATATGTTTTATATTTTGTTTGTGCTTTGAAGTTTCTTTAGCGATTGGATTGGTTTTACACGGTAGGGTTTCTAGCTCTATGCTCAACCTTCCCTCTTTACCCGGGCTTAGGACTGGCAAGTAACTAGTGAACTATTTAACCAGGCAAGGTTCTTGTGCACTGTGGTAGAATATAGTTCCATTTTTATTTATTTATTAGGTTTATCACACAGTATTGTTTACTGAACTACGTTTTGGACAGAGAACTTATTGTCTATAGTCGTCATATCAAGATAAGTATACAACTTTTGAGATATCCTTTATATAGTCCTCATTTCTTCGTCTCTTTATGAGATAGGTAGTAAGATTTTCGATATATCCGGAAGGGGTGCTGCATATGTTAGGTGTTGATTCGATGGTTATCAATCTTTCCCTCCACCCTGTTATGTTAGTTCGAAGAATTTTCACCTTGTCCCATCCATTCTGTCGCGTAGTTGCGTGTAATCCCATTCATAGCTATGGTTGAGCCTCCCTTTTCTAAATTCCTTACCTTACCAGGACCTACCAATTTTGACCTAGCTAAGTTTTTGTGTTCCAATAGCCTAATTGATTCTAGTCGACTACTTTGACCTATGTAGTTGACCTCGCAGTCCTTGTAAGGGATTTGGTAAGCTAAGTTATTCTGCTTAATTGGGTCAATAGGATCTTCTTAACCTACAAAGCTTAGTTCGAAATGAGTTTGTAGGTAGAAATGCCATGCTAATCCCAGCCAGCCTTAATGAGAACTCTATGTAGTGTTTCTGAAGTGCCTTCTTTGTATGGTAATACTGTCGAGGTTTTGAATTCTGTATTCATAGTATTGCCGCTAATATTATTAACATCATTATTACTACTACTATTGTTGCTGTTATTACTACTAGTAATAACTGTGTTACTGATATTTGTCTTATAATTCCTAAGGAGCTTATCAATTAATTTAGGAGGCTAACTGTTGATGATTAAGGTGTCTTTAATGTATCTGGTTTCTCGAGTTAGATCTTCTGTTTCACCAGTAAGTTTTTTGGCCCCGTTACTTAGATACTTTACTAAGCCAACTTTAACTGACTGGCCTAGGGTGAGACGATTTGAAGTTGTCTAAGTAACGGTTTGAATGTGAAGGTTTTGCTGTAGACACGATTACGAGGTCAAATACATAGGTCAAAGTAATCAACTAGCCAAGGTCAATTAGGCTATCCGAAGATAAACACCTAGCTAGGTCAAGATTGATAGATCGTAGTAAGGTAAGGAATTTAAAGAAAAGCTTAGCCCCATAGCTATGCATACGATTACACACAACTACACAACAGAATGGATGGGACAGGATGAAAATACTTAAAACTAATATAACAAGTGAATCTTTGTTTATTGAATCAACACCAAATACATGCAGTAATATAGAAATGATTCTACTACCTATCTCACAAAGAGACAAGGAAATTAGGACTTGTCAGCTAGATATACCTGTTTCCAAGTGAGTGATTTTACCTTACAAGGGGTCGAACCCTAGGCTATTAACTTAAAATACCACAGTGTTACTCATTAGGTCAATAGTTTGTGTCATGTACTCTTTGATGGGAAGAATATTACACACAATGGGAGTGAGCAGGTACATTCAACTGATGAGTTAACTTTAAAAAGGATGAAACGTGTCTCTTCAATTTCACTGCTAACCAATATGCATGAATAAAACTAACATGAATTGTAGACCATATCCAGAGATTAGAATAGGAGCCTAAATCCCAATATAATTCAAACATTTAGGTGAAAATAAGATGAATAATCATAAATGGAGATAATTTTTCCTCATGAGATATTGTCACGAGCATAATCTATAAAAATGACATTGAAACCAAGAAATTTGAACATTATGAAAGTGGAACATCTTGAAAAGACACAAATCCTTCTTCATCTAACAGTTTATTGATAAAAAAGTAAGAAGTTATTCTAATTTAGTGTTGAATGATCAAGCTAATTTGTTATTGTCATAGGAGACATTAATTCCCTCGAGGTTATTGATGACTGCAAGCAAGTACAAAACCTGGATGAATCAGAGCTTGCTACTAATTGCCTCCAACCAATCAATACACAATGTTGGACTTCTTACTCAAGTGGCTACATCAATAGAATTCAGTCAGCATTAAGAGCTAGAGAGCATAGAAAAGGCTACTTTTCAGTGACCAATCAGTTTAGTTTGGTATTGGTAATAGTGTACAGTAGTTGCACTATAATATGCAGAGGTGACAAGTAAGAAAAGATGAATTTCAACACAATAACTCAAAGGGGGAATACTTTTATCATTGATGACAGTTTTGAATAGAAATGAAAAGCCATCGTCCGTTGAACAATCGTCTTGATAAAGTTCTATTCTCTAATTAACCAGTTAACCTACCTTCAGTAATACAGCGGTTTTCCATTCCTAACAAGACTGATGTTTTTTCAGATGATAAAATCACATACAACTAAGCATTAGGTTATGGATGCATTAACTGATATCCTGTAAAACTGGATTATATAGAAGAATCACCCATAGACTGGTAGGTATTCAATGTGATTGTAAGTACCTGACAGTTAGTAGCAGTCTGTCAGTCAGATATGGAATCCGACCGGTGAACTACATGATATTGTGCATCAGTACACTTGATAGGCTATTCTTCATTAGTTACAGGACCGAAATGTGCAACCTATGTTGGCACATCGGTATCCATGAGAACGTCTTGATACTGCTGATTACTCATGATATCATATTGATTTTAGTGACTAGTAGAGGAATCCACCAGGTGCGTTTCGTCCTACTTAGGACTAGTCAACTAGATGTACGTGCAGCTCAGTGAGTGATATTGTCTCCACTTGGGCTCCAACCAAGTAACCATCACTTGCAACCTCCAGAGCGTTACCCACTGACGAATAGTAGCCACCCCCTTGTTTGACTGGTATCAGTAGTTGTGATGATACTCGTAATTTCCCATTTCTATACAGGGCGGAATCGCTCGATCTCAGTTGGCAGATGGGCTCCTACGTGGATGCCTCGATACTACCAGATTTCCATGATGTTATGTTGATCATGGTGAGTAGTAACAATTAATACCAGTCGCAAAGGATGCGGCTATCGTGACCCAGTGACGTAGTGGGTAACGCTTTGGCGCTTAGGGCGAAGGGTATTTGCGTTCAAGTCACAATGGGATCAGTATCAGTTACGTCCCAGTTGAGGAGTCTTAAATAGAATGTTGCGTGCATCTTGGGTTCAGCTGATAGTCACCGAGGTCAGTGTATTCGACATTAGGGTCAATCAATGGGAGGGAGCTTTGCTTCACCTTGATTTCATACCTGAAGACACTCATCAATATTTAGACTAGATTTGACAGAAAGAAAAACAATTTATCAGTTTATTTTTGTTTCTCTGTTATTTTCTTCATGCTTTATAGTCATTTGAAATAATGAAATAACATGAATAAAGTTAAAATGATACTTGAAGTTAAGCCAAAAAAAAGAGAGAACAAAAAAAAAATGTAGGCAAAATATTCAGTCGATAAGGGGACTGGAACAATAATAGGTTCATTGTAATTGTGATTACTTCGCCCCCCCCCACTTACAGTTTATTTTATTTTCATCATTTTCCATCCAATTTGTATAGATAGAAGTTATTAGAAATTAATTTGATTGCTTCAATCTTTATCATATCTCATTTTCCCGTATGATAAGATAGATGAATGAAGCTCAGTATATGAATTAATTCGATATTGATTTGTTCAGTATGATTTTCCAGGGAATTTTGATATTTTAGCATAAAGAAATAACCTACTGACAAGTAGTATAATTTATAAAGCGAAAATTATGCGGATGGGATTAGACAACAACAATAATAATAATATTAAGGATAAATCAGAGAGAAATTAAGAGACAACACTGAAAACATCAGATTTAATCAATAAATAGAACCATATTGAATCAATTTTAAGTGTTTATAGTTAAATAAATGAAACAAGATAGTAGTCATATAGATACACATTGACATAGTAGAAAGTGATAGTCAGTATAAGAGAAAGGTGTACAGTTAAACACAATACATGAGTACACTTCAACAGTTTGGCCAACAATGAATGTTTAGTGTTCAGTGTTTTTTCATCATTCATATTCATTCTGTGTTATTGACAAAGGATAACTCTAAGTATATATGTATATATATACGTCTGTGTAATGAATCATTCAAATATTTTTCATATTTAATCTTTATCATACACAAATAAATCAGAGAATACAATAACTTTTATTATTCAAGAAAAAATCATTAATTTTTTTTATTAGTTTGTTTATATACACTGAAATAGGAATAATTCAGTAGTATAAAATTTTGAAAGAAAAAAATCATTATTTATTATTATGACATAAGGATACTTATTATCTATCCATTGTTATTCTTTCTTGATATTGTGTACAGGAGAAAGAGGTTGGAGGGGGGGGGGTGTAGGGGTGCAATTAAATAAAATAAGTTTTCATGCTTACAGTTTATTATTCACTTATAAAGAGAGAAGATGATAATAAAAAGAAATTAAAGTGAATAATATTCTATTGTCTATTGTATACTGATGATGATGATGATGATGATGATTTAATAGGGTTTTGTTGAATCATTTTTAGGACGTTTTAATTGAACTTTTAAACGTTTCATACCGATTTGAAAACCATTCATTGCTTGTATAGCAGTTTGTGCACTAGTTGAATTATCAAAGCTAACAAAACCTTTTAAACAAAACATGAAAAAATACAAACAATCCCGAAGAAAAAAAAAGAGAAAAATAACAACAAACTGATTACAACTAATAATTAGAAGTGAGGAACATTGCAAAACCTTAAAACACTAGATAACAGTTGTTTCATCCAACTAGTATGCGACTGTTCAACAGTGAGTATCTAGGACCTTCAGGTTCCATGGCTAGCCACTAGGTCAGAATCCAATGGTCTATATGAAAATGTCACATGCCAAATGATCCACAATGGAAAGTTCACTGATGCCTCTGAAGTGAAGTGAAGACAGGAGTAAAACAAGACTGCTGTCTGCTATCATCCATGATATTTCTGATTGTAATGGACTGGATCATGCAACAAACAGTGAGGAGCGAGAAGAGGGGGATACACTGGCTGGTTCAGGGAAAAGATCCTAGAACACTTGGATTTCGCCAATGATGACTTGTGTCCAATGTCTTCTCGTACAAACTTGAAGATCTACAGACGAAAAGTAACAAGTTGAGAGAAGAGGTAGGGCAGGGCAGCAAAGGCGGAACTTCAAGTGAACTTAGAGAAGACAGAGGTGTTGATGATACCCAACCAACATCAGTATTAACAACAAGCTCCAATCACTATCAATAGGAGAAACTTAAAGGAATTAGCCTCTTTCACCTATCTAGGCAGCATCGTTTCAACTACAGGCGTCACAGATGAGGATGTCAAAACCAACCATGATCAGAAACACAGCAACACAGGCATTCCTTCATTAACCTGAAACCAGTGTGGAGATCTTCAGCAATGCACTCAGCACAAAGCGTGAACAACATCCGGATTTTCAACACCAACGTCAAGTCGAGTCAGTGCTTCTGTGTGATGGTTAAGAGACTTGGCGTGTCACGAAAACCATTTCCAACAAGCTACAGATATTCATCTACAACTGCCACCTACGCTGGCTCGTTACTGAAGATCAGATCAACGAAGCAAGAACCTATCACTCAACAAATATGCACTGGAAAGAAGTAAGGATGGATTGGGCATACACTGAGAAAACTATTCAGGGACATCACGAACCAGGCCAGGCCATTGAGTGGAATCCAAATGGGAGGCGACTAGTCGGACGTCCGAGGGTGACATGGAGGAGATGATGTGAGGAAGAAATGAGAGGTTATGGGCAGTCATGGAGTCAGGCTGAAAAGAGTTCAGAGAAGAGAGTGCACTGGAGATGTGCTACTGAAGTCCTATGTTCCATTAGGAACTTAAGCGACAAATAATAATAATATTACATTTAACTAATCAATTTTTTTTCTTTTTCTGATTATTTGTCAATGATACATAGAAAACTTACCGAAACATTTACTTTGATTTGTTGCACGATCAACATATACTTTAGCACTGATTACCGTTCCAAATGGCATAAACATTTGAGCCAATTCTGGATCGCCAAATTCCTGTGGTAGATGGTAAATGAAAAGATTGCATCCCTCTGGTCCTATAATATAAACAATAATAAATATAACTGATTGATATAAACTGAAAACAATACAACTGAACAATGAATATATCAACATTATATATGAAAATATATTTGAGAGTAGTATTCATTATAATCTGATATCAGTTTCATCTAGTATGATACTGTGAACAAATATGTATCCATAGACACTGTGAAGGATGAAACTATGAACCAGGGAACTGTAACATACTGAATGAATGATAAACTTCTGCTTTATGAGATTTATAGATCTTGGATTAGAACTGTGATTTGATTATAGGTGAGTACTATCGATGGTTGCCATATTGACACAAAACACCTATCCAATACTACTAGTTTATAATGAATACTACCATGGAATAAATAAAAATCTTTATAAATCTTAAAGTAAACATATAATCATCACTAGTATAAAATAAACACAATACATATGTTATTACAAGATATAATCTTCATCTTCTAATTTATTAAAGGGACTAATTTGTTTCAAGTTAAGAGAATTATTTTCCCGGAACACATTTTTCTTCGATGTTTTATTATGATCAAATAGGTTTATTTCTATACTTCAAGTTGATCAGAAAAGTTGTACTCTTCATCTGACCTTATTTCTTGAGTCTAAGTCCCGGTGGGAATAATATTACTTGGCACTGGGAAGCAGGTATATCCAGCTGATGAGTCCCAAATAGGACGAAATGCGCACCAAGCTGGATTCCACTGTTAGCCACTGCCCATTATTACTAAACATAGTTAAAAGACAGGCAATATCGAGGCATCTGCATAGGAGACTATATGCCAATAGAGACTGATCAATTCGGTCGAATAAACGACGGTGTAATACAAGCAATAACACTAAACCTATACTTGTCGCACAAGAAGTGGCTATCGTGGCTCGGTGGTGTAGTGGACAACGAACTGGCGTTTGAAGCGATCGCTCCGGAGTCCCGGTGGGAACAACACCACTCACTGTGAAGCAGGTACACCCAGCTGATGAGTCCCAAATCGGACGAAGTGCACACCCTGGATTCCACTATCCATCACTACTGGGTCCCATAACTACTACTATTTGTTGACATCGTTGTTATTCTCCGCTGTTTTGTTGTGTTACATCGAACTGTTCGACGTCTGTTGGCATATGTTCTCCTATGTGGACGCCTGGATATTACCTGAATGTTAATCATGATAATTTAGTTGGCTGTGGCTAGCAGAAGAGTCCAGCTCGACGCCTATTTGGGACTCGTCAGCTGGATGTACCTGCACCCTACTCGGTGATGTTGTTCCCACTGAGACTCGAACGTCGTATGCATCGTTTCAAACGTCAAGGCCTTATCCAGTATGCCACGGAGGAACGATGTGGGAACGATATCACTGAGGTTCAGGTACATCCAGCTGACGAGTGAGTCCCAAATAGGATGAAATGCCGCATCCTAGATTCTTCTGCTAGACACAACCAACCAAATTATCAATCCTATAACCATCTTGAAGTTTATTACAGGTGAGTTGTAGTAAAAAAAAATTTCATCATCATCATCATCATCATTCATTTGACCAAGTTGAAAGTAACCGTTGAACAGACCTCCAATAAATATTTTTATGACAGAGTTAAACTACTGAAAATATTTTAAGTAGTTGCAAGTGGGAGTATAAATTTATCGATTATTTATCCATGTTTAGCTGAATCTCTGTACTATTAATATTTTATAATGGTAACTTGGTAATTTTATGTATATTTCTAGGAATAATGTAGTTTTTTTTATATTGGAGTATTTAGTAATGATCCTTCCATAGGTTCTCACCTACGAAAAATCATGTTATCGTTATGAATCGACTGATAGAGCAACTTTGACGAGATGTACAATCCAACAACGTTACTAAATCATTCCACCGTTAGTATGAAAGATTAAAGTAAAATGAAATATACAACATATAAAGGGACAAGACTCTTGAAAATATTGAATATATGAAAGAATTAATGTATATATGAAGATGATAGTCATTACGAAACTGAGACAAGTTAAAGAAGTATTGAAAATATGAGAGAACTAGAGATCTATTTCTTTCTCTAACAATGCAAACCAATGACCCTAGTCTGTAGGTTCACTGGCCAACAGTCAACCATAGCAAGCTTACATTCAATGAAATTTTTGAGGGAGTTGTGGAGATTTGGAAATATTTCAAGTTATTATTCATCGTAGACTGACTGACATCAGTTGGAGGAACAAAGGAAACCTGGGAGCACTGGACAGCTGGCTATTTCGTCTGACTAGTATGGGACTCCTCAGCAGTGCGCACCCACGACCCCACACCAGCAAGGACCGAACCCGCGACCTTCAGGTTCCGCGGCCAGCGCGTTACCATTGAGCCTCTGGGTCAGAATCCAACGCTCCATATTTCCAACTTCTGTTAGCTCACGATACATAGCACAACCGCCACCCAATGTCATCGTTGAGTATTTGTCCTCACGGCCATCAGGCTTTGACTCCACCGGTCACGACTTGTCATTGGAACTTCGGGAATACTTCTCGAAGCTAGTCACCAATGAGCACTAGTTCAATTAAATTTTGAGGGAGTTATGGGGGATTTGGAATTATTTCAAGTTGTTATTCATCGTAGACTGACTGACATCAGTTGGAGGAACAAAGGAAACCTGGGAGCACTGGACAGCTGGCTATTTCGTCCGACTAGTATGGGACTCTTCAGCAGTGCGCACCCACGACCCCACACCAGCAAGGACCGAACCCGCGACCTTCAGGTTCCGCGGCCAGCGCGTTACCATTGAGCCACTGGGTCAGAATCCAATGCTCCATATTTCCAACTTCTGTTAGCTCACGATATATAACACAACCGCCACCCAATGTCATCGCTGAGTATCTGTCCTCATGGCCATCAGGCTTTGACTCCACCGGTCACGACTTGTCATTGGAACTTCGGGAATACTTCTCGAAGCTAGTCACCAATGAGCACTAGTTCAATTAAATTTTGAGGGAGTTATGGGGGATTTGGAATTATTTCAAGTTGTTATTCATCGTAGACTGACTGACATCAGTTGGAGGAACAAAGGAAACCTGGGAGCACTGGACAGCTGGCTATTTCGTCCGACTAGTATGGGACTCTTCAGCAGTGCGCACCCACGACCCCACACCAGCAAGGACCGAACCCGCGACCTTCAGGTTCCGCGGCCAGCGCGTTACCATTGAGCCACTGGGTCAGAATCCAATGCTCCATATTTCCAACTTCTGTTAGCTCACGATATATAACACAACCGCCACCCAATGTCATCGCTGAGTATCTGTCCTCATGGCCATCAGGCTTTGACTCCACCGGTCACGACTTGTCATTGGAACTTCGGGAATACTTCTCGAAGCTAGTCACCAATGAGCACTAGTTCAATTAAATTTTGAGGGAGTTATGGGGGATTTGGAATTATTTCAAGTTGTTATTCATCGTAGACTGACTGACATCAGTTGGAGGAACAAAGGAAACCTGGGAGCACTGGACAGCTGGCTATTTCGTCCGACTAGTATGGGACTCTTCAGCAGTGCGCACCCACGACCCCACACCAGCAAGGACCGAACCCGCGACCTTCAGGTTCCGCGGCCAGCGCGTTACCATTGAGCCACTGGGTCAGAATCCAATGCTCCATATTTCCAACTTCTGTTAGCTCACGATATATAACACAACCGCCACCCAATGTCATCGCTGAGTATCTGTCCTCATGGCCATCAGGCTTTGACTCCACCGGTCACGACTTGTCATTGGAACTTCGGGAATACTTCTCGAAGCTAGTCACCAATGAGCACCAGTTCAATTAAATTTTGAGGGAGTTATGGGGGATTTGGAATTATTTCAAGTTGTTATTCATCGTAGACTGACTGACATCAGTTGGAGGAACAAAGGAAACCTGGGAGCACTGGACAGCTGGCTATTTCGTCCGACTAGTATGGGACTCCTCAGCAGTGCGCACCCACAACCCCACACCAGCAGGGATCGAACCCAATGAGTAATTATTTTCATATCCAATACTAAGAAGTCATTAAATAGAATGAGACAGGTGTCAAGGGGGGGTGGGTTAATGTCTTTTCAACCCATTTCAATTAGTTATGATGAATACACTGAGCTGAAATCAACTTGACAATACTTATATATAAAAAGAACAATGAAATATACATTGAATGATACTTTATACTTGAGAAATAGGAAGGTACACTCATATACACACACACACACACACACATACAAACAGATAATACACAAATTTTACTGACATTGACTCATTTCAATATCATTAAGTGATATCCAGTAAATTTAATGAATAACAACGCTAATCATATCAGTAAATATCTCATCAAACGATATATATATATATACTACTGACTACAATTACAACAATCATTGTAGTGAGAATAGCACAAGAAAATATTTATGCCTTACTCTAATAGGATTATTATATTTACATATATACATAAACTATGTATTATTAGTATAATGAAAGTGATGAGATAAGTGGGGGGGGAGAAAGAAAAAAAAAACAAAAACAATGTTGACATTGTTACAGAGTATTGACAATGAAAAATGCTAGAACAAAACAGATAATCACTTGAAATACTACATAGACACAAGAGAAAGACAAACATATAGGTATATATACATGTATATATATACCTTTAGTGCAATATACTGATTAGTTCACTGACAAGAATAACCAGATAAGTAAGTAACAACAAAGAGAAGAGAATGAAATAAGAAGTGAAGAAAGTGTGAGTATAACAGTTGAGACAAGAAAAAAAAAGACTCTGAAAATGAATTAGAAAATATGATGAATAAATAAATTTACCGTTGATCATTTGTCAGACTGTTGGCTAATTAACGGAGGGAATTAGATAGAATAATAAACATATATTTATATTTATACATATTATAAAGGTATGCTTAAGCTGATTATAAAGATATTAAGTATGAAATAGTATATATGTTAATATTTACTATTATATGCCTCATTA